TCATATTTCAGTATCAGCTTTCGGACTTCAGTGACCCCTTTGGTTTTAAAAGCCAAGGATTCAAACCCAAGGTGAGCCACAGGATTAATTGAAAACTTGAAGCTGGCACACAAAATCCGCATCTTTTCATTTTTGTGTAGTGTGGTATTTGACCTGATGTTCTTCCAGGAGCCAACATTACAAGTAAAATGCTAGGAGAAGTTGAAGCTAAAACCTCACAGGATTTCCTCCTTGTACACTACCAAAGGATTTCAGAGCGGGAATTAGCTGTGTTGGTCTGAAATCAGGCAGAAGGCAGAGCAGTGGGCACGTGATAGACTAACTCATGCAGAGAGGCATATCACTGTAAACTCTCTGAATAATTTAGCCTATAGGGGTGCCACACTGCCCTGCCTTCCAACAAAGGATTTGTAACTGTCCTAACTAAAGCTGATGACCTAAAAGTCAAAACTAGTTTCCCACAAGGATAACAATTTAGTGACCAAACCAAAAAAGAATGTTTGATTATGAGGCCTGAGATGAACTGCTAACTAATCCAGAAAAAGCATTATAAAGACATTAAAAATTTTTTTTTCAATATTGCTCTCCAGTCAGTTAAAGAAAAAAACAGCACTTGAAGAGTGCCGTAAGATGATTGTATGAAGTAGTGAAGGTGTCCTACACAGATTCAGAACAGCAATGTATTATTTTAAGCAAGGCATTAGAAGATATGAGGGTGAAGAAACTCAAATACCTGGGATCTTTGCAGTGAACCTCAAGCTTTTGGCAAGCAGATGAAAACCTGGAACATGCCCAGAAGCATTGGAGTTCTGTGCAAAAATAAGCTTTTGTCTTTGTTTCCAAGCACATCACACTCAGGATTCTATCAATCTTGCCTTTTTTATGTTTCAGGGAAAGAGTGTAGTTTGTCTAAGCTTATAAAAACATAGATACATTCTACAATGGCTCAGTCTTGGTTGGTGGGACTTGTTTTAATTTCAATTGAGAGCCAAATTGCAGAATATTGACCTGAAAAATGCCATCAATGAGTTTGCATGTATTAATTCAAGAAAACTGAAATTCACTAATCCCAAATCTTTGAGGGGAAAATTTTTTTTAATGACTAGATATGCTTTTAGCTTCAAGTTCTTCACTTGACTTCATGCTTGCATTATCATCAATCAACTAGAGCAGTGGTCTCCAAAGTGGGGTGCGTGCACCCTAGGGGGTGCGCAAGACAATTCATTGGGGTGTGGGAAGAAAATATTAGAACTTGTATTTTTATTTATTTTTTATCTAAAAAAATAAGAAAGAAATTAAGCTTTACTAATATTTAATATACAGATTGACACTGGTGCCCTCACTCAGTCCGTATGTCAGATGGTCACATGTCACGTACGGTACGTGAGTTATCCTGAGGGAAGAGTGGGAGTTCCACAACGCAGAGGGGTTGACAGTGGTGCCCTCACTCATTCATTCGCTTTCAGCATATTGCGACGTATTGCAGTTTACATGTGCCCGGTTAAGTGAATTTACAAATTATATTATCTAGTTTTAACTAAACTAACCCTCACAAAATGGACAAGTGGCTTAAAAAGATTCCTGCAAAGAAACCACTGATTGAAGATAATACTAATAATGCGAGCACAAGCGAACAGCAAGAAAATGGCAGAGCTGACACTTCTCCTACTCCTAGTATGAGCTCTTCGTCAGCCACATTACAAGGTAAAAACAATGATCTAATCAGATCTGACAAAAAGTTGGCCAAAAAAAATTCGAAATTATCAAGAATACTTGAAATATGGATTTACATCCATTATCATTAACGATTAACCTCGCCTTAAGTGTATATTGTGCCTTGAGATATTAGCTAATGATAATAT